AACATGTTTTTATATTTCACATTTCAACATGAAATGCATCTGGGATTTTAATAATATTGGAAATCCTCCTAACTAAACTTTGCCACATGAAAAGCATTGTAAAGCCTGAGGAAAAAAAAAAAAAAAAAGTGAAAAATATATATTTTTCAGATTAAAATAAAAAATTAACAGACCCAAGTCTGCATATCCATGTTTACATTCCAAAGTTTATTTTGCTGTTATGCACGATATGCAAAATAAATAATTGCTGATTTGTTGCAGCAAAAACTGTTCTATTGGGTTTTAGTTTTGAATTTGATAAATAGATAAAAGTAATGAGTGTGTTTGCAAATACTTAAAAAATAGGTTTCTCACCTGCAGCTTAGACTTTACTGAAATGATTCAGGGTTTGTTTTCTGTTTCATTTGCTGGTATTTAAGCTAACCACAAAGAAAAAAAAAAAAAATCAACAAATACATTTCTTTAATGTCTTAATTCTGACAGTTTGCTTAGGTGATGCATTCAATTACAGAATGTTTTTTTTTGGAATTCGTATTTAGCCTTTTCTTTTTGCCGGCTCGATGTACTGTATTTGTAAATCAGATAAACCTCAAAGCTTTATTTGCAAGGAACTGTTGAGTGGATTTTATCGCTTGCAAAAACAACAGTTGTCTTTAGAAACAGACACCGTCTCCCGCCTTCACTCCAAAACCTTTCCATTCACATAATAAAGTGTAATTATGACAGAAAAATACATTCAGCAGATTTAAAAAACATCTCAACGCCATGCAGCAGCTCTTGGATCACTCAGTCGTGCAGTACAAATACACATTTGCATGCAGTCACATAAAAAAAAATGAAGAAAATCCAATATGGATCCAAGAAAACAGTGTTGTGTTACACACAACCCAAAATAAAACTGCTGTATACAAAGTTTACTTGACATCAAGTGCAGGAAAACAGTGCATGGAATCAAAACATGAAAGATTAATAAATAAGACTTCATCATCTGCATAGGTGTTTTTTTTTTTAAAGCATTTTTTCCCCTTTATGCAGTAACATAAATTCATGCATCCAATGTCTTAATTAGTGAAGTAAAATACCAGAGTTTCCCTTTGACAATATATTTATTTATAGTCCATGGCAGAGCTCCACTCATTTAAGCCCTTAGGGGGATCGTGAGGCTTCCAGCTGGAGAGTTACTGAGTGGTTATAAGTTGGACGATCATGCGGATGATGCGAGAACCACGGGGACAGGTGCATAGGTCCATGCTTGGGTTCCTGATTTTATCTTCCAGCAGCTGGTCCAGCTCCCAGCGCAGCTCCTTTACCAGCTCAGCCACCTGGGAAACACAAACGATGGTTGGTTGGTAGAGATCTTAACTTTTTGAGAGGATCTGAATGGGATTCAACACCCAAGTTCTAAGCAGGGGAGAAAAGAAAATGTTTAAGCTGTATGTAGGTGCTCTGGGACCTGATGCGAAGCTGCAGCGAATCGGATCCACCCGTCATCCAGGGAGATGACAAACTCTCCTTTGTGCAGCTCCACGTTGACCTGACCCCCTCCGAACAGCACCAGCGGGTAGACGGACACCATGCTGCAGTCCCTGATGAAAATGCGGCTCGTCTTTACCTTCTCGTGGTAAACCAGGTAGGGACTGTCATAGTGGCGGACCTGAGAGAGCAAAGAATATTAAGAATATTATTACATTTTCCTGAATGGGAAACAGTCGTTTCGTGAAGCCCCAGCTCACCGTGTAGTTAACAGACGATGGGTGAACGTGGACGCAGCCGTCGTTCTTGGTCATAAAGCGCAGCTCGTTGGCTTTCGGTTGCATCTTCATTGCTCCCTTGCTGGTCATCTTGTAATTCCCCTGAGGTGCTCGTACCTGGATCAAAAGAGGGATCAAGCGTCACTTCATTGTGAAGTCGCTGCTATGAGCTGAGATTTGAAAAGGTGATTCACCTGGACGACGTTTGGATAGAGAGCTGCACACAGCATTGCAGACATCAGACGGATGTTATCCGAATTAAGGTTGGCCTAGGAGGGAGAATATGACAAACCTTAAAGGTGCTGTTCACTTTTTAGACAAAAAGATGAATTCAGTGAGTATATATGATTCACCTCAGGTCCAGTAGCCTCTAAAACACCATCCGTTCCCTTTGAGGAAAGACGTTCAATAACTCTGGCCCTCAATCCCTCCTTAATGAAGCCGATGTCCGACAGCAGCTCTGCAAACTGTCTCTTCAGGCTGGCGATCTCCTGAATGGGGCACGCCGTTGAAGATTTGGAGGTTTACAAAAGGATTTCACATTATGAACAACACATTTATCTGTAAAGATTGCTTTGATCTGAGGCTCTGCTGCTACTTTCTCACCTGTAAACTGCGCCAGGACAGGAAGTTCTCCCTACAGTAGAGGAAGCCGGCCTGGTTACCATTCTTTGCAGCGCAGCACCAACCCTGCCAGGGACAGAGATGATCCGTCACACGGCTTCTAAGTAAAACTTCGCACACTACTACAGACAGCAAGAGAAATCATGGAAAACAGACTAATAATTCTACAGGATAGAAAATGATTGGAGGAGTCACTGAGAGAATTAAAGAACATGGAATTCATCTTCTTTTTAAAGACAACCTGTAAACAGAAATAAAGATAATCAGATTGTGAGCAGAGTCGGTACCTTGTATGCTTGTAACAAAGCCAGATGGTCACTGTTAGCCAATGAGAAGGCAAGCTTCTTCTCGCCAGCTTCCTCTCTCTTATCCCACGGAGACACCTGGAAACATTGCACATGTCCAAACCTCTTATAATGAACTCAAAATGACAGTACTAAATAAAATATAGATCTAGAGTGTCATGTTTGCTTACAAATGGAGATTTAAAGGCCAGACTGGCGGCGATGGTGAGCGCCGGGTCGAGGCAGCGAAAAATGGCGCCAAACAGCATCAGTTTTCCTATGCGCACGTCGACAGGCAGGCAGGCCAGGTGGTAGCCCAGCGGGGTCAGCTTCTCATCTGCGGTCAGAGCACCCAGGTCCTGGAGACGCTGCCTGGCAGCGTCCAGGCTGCCTTCAGCCGGGGGCTCGATGAGCCGAGAGAAGACCGACTCCAGCGGCTGTTCGGCAAACAAATCCAGGATCTTAATTCTGTCAAAGAAATGAGAAAAAAGTGGTTTCACATCATAAACCCTCTAAGTGAAGGCAAACGGCGTTGGGTGAGGACGCTACCGGAGGCAGAGCTGCTCCAGAGGGACTCTCTGGATCTCAGGCAGCTGCTGCTCAGCCAGCTGGTGGTGGAAGCAGTGGCTTGTGAAGAGATGGAAGCAAACCCCAGAGGCCACGCGACCTGCTCGACCTTTCCTCTGCAGCGCGTTGGCTCTGGACACCCACGAGTCCTCCAGGCTCTCCATGCTTTTGGATGCGTCATACCTGAGAACAAGCAGCGCAGCATGGAGCCGTCTCAGACCATTTTAGCGAGGATTAAGTGTGATTAATCTAAGGGAAATGCACAGCTGACCTCTTTTCCTTCATCTTGCCAGAGTCGATGACGTAAACCACGTCGTCGATGGTGACGGAGGTCTCAGCGATGTTGGTGGAGATGATGATCTTCGTGACGCCCTCAGGAGGGCGGCTGAAGACGGCCTGCTGCTCCTCGTTGGATAAGGTTGAATGGAGGGGGTACACCACACACCTGACAGTTGGGACAAACGCAGCAGGTGTTGCATCTGCAAACTAATGAGCTTCATTTTCCTTTTTCACGAGCCGACTATCATGTAGTTGTCCAAAGATCTTAAAATTTATCTTTTTATTGCAGGAGCTATTATCTTAAATACAAAATAAGCACAGGACAGGACAGCTTCTCTTTTCTTTATTTGATTTAATATAAAGATTTTCTAAAAGACTGAGGCTGCGTCCTGTTTATCAACTCATTTAAAATGGTGTAACCACTTTATAGTGCCCCATATAGTGGCTACGCCATTTTAAATGAGTGTCCGAACATCTAGCGGATGAATGAGTAGTGGACTCGAAATTTTCCACAATGAAAAGTATAGGGTTGGGAATTAATAAGATTTTCACGATTCCGATTCCCTTATCGATTCTGTAACACAATTCGATTCCTTATCGATTTTGTGAAACGATTAGATTCTTTATTGATTCTCTTATCAGTTCTGTGAAACAATGAACTTGGTAAGTGCACGGTGACATTCGTCTACCTTCGCCTGGGAGATTCTATTTCTGCCTGCCTCTAAGAAAACAGAAGGCAGTGAACGGGAGCTGCCGGCCTCTGAGCCAGCCAGGCTACCCGTCTCTTCACAATCATCTAAATCTAATGGAGAAGGCATCCGTTTAATGAAAAAGCATCACTGTAGCATTACTGGAAATAAACTCACCTCCCCCTGATTTAAATAAAAGAGCATCACCTTTCTCTCGCTCCATGACCTGCGGAGCAACTTCGTAGCATGTTTCGTTACATACATTGCAATAGCTACAAATCATGTAAGAATTCCAGCTACCAGTAGTTCTAATTAAAAATTTTAACAATGAAGGGCTGGATTAACGAGACAGGCACATTCCCGTGATAACCCCAAAGAGAGGTAGGAAATGGGTTTATTTCTAGAAATGTCATATGATTTACTAGGAACCAAATTAAGCACAGCCAGTTATATAAAACTAGCTACTTTCCACCAGAGTTGCCTTCCATGCTGGTCGTAACTTTAGCTTATTTCCATAAGCATCAAAAACCATTTGTTCAAATGTATGCCATGTTGTGTGCGCAGGTGTTGCTGCATGTTGGATGCATTTCCTCCCGTGGATGTTATTGCCACTTTGCAATGATTCTTAAGCACCTTGTTGCCATCTTTCTCTTCCTTAAAATGAAGCCAAACTTTCGATCGCTTTGACTGCTTTTGTTTTGCTTTTCTAGACTTACGCCTAGGGCTGGGTATTGTTAAAAAATTTTCGGTTCCGGTACCAATACCGATACCTTCACTTCGATACCGGTTCCTGAACGATACTTTTTTCGATACCAGTTTTATAATATCAATTCGAGAAAAAAAAGAAAATAACACAACATAAAAAAGTACAAATCTTGAGTTTTATTTTAAGCTCTGTTTTTCCATT